AAATTTGAGTTGCCACCTCGTGCTATTTAGCAGGGTGCGTATGATCTCTCGATCCTCAAGTTTTTTATTTGATCTCCACATTGGCATCAAAGTGAGCATGCTTTTTTAAAAGGCTAACGATGATGGTCTCTTTTCGTTCTCGCCGTAGCCAAATAGGCCATAGGCTTCTCATGGCATACATGGATGAGTGTGTGTCTTTCTTGGACTGCTTTTAAGCGGCTAGCCTATGCCTACCTACCAGAGGTCCGTAGTACACCGCATCAAACTACAAGTCCCGATTACAATGCTCCTCAACAATATCTTTGATGATAGAAGCTTTCAACGGACAGCACTGGATAGCACTTGGCACTACGTGAAAATGGCCGGCTAGATGCGATTAGTAAGATTTCGAGTCGAGTTAACCTGATTCGCTACTGGCACCCAATGATGACACTTTTGCATTAGACTTTTGGGTTACCAATGTCAAATAGGATATCCTTGTGAGGCTTCGAAATGCCCAATGGTATCCTGACAGGGTACCTCTAGGTATTAGGTACATCATACTAAGTTACGGTCTAGTTCTCCTCGAACAACACAAAACCGCTGAACTCAAGGAAGCCTTCAAGTTGCACGACTGAAAGGCAACTCGAACAAACGTTTATGGGATTTTTGGCATAGGGCCAGTATTCAGGGCGAACTTTTTTGTTTTGATCATGTCTATAGGCGGACCTATAGGCTGCCACTGGTGCGGTCATATATGCGCGCCTAACTCATCATCGGAGGCTGCCTTTACAATCGACACAAAACTAGATCTGATCGGACGTAGCCTGCCAGTAATCGGCAGTCCCTTTCATGAGCTTGAGGGCACCTTGATGGCGTCTCCCAGCCGCTGTGCCACGTGCACCTTATGAGAAAAGTAGGTGCACCGGAGGGCACTTGAGTGGACCAGATTGAATCAATCAGGAATGTTAACATTGAAGGCCGGTTATCTTTCTCATGGATGCTTGCAAGCACTTGATCTTATGCGCATATGCATGGGGAGCCAGACTCCGCATGGGGAGTCCCCACCTCTCGCATTTATGCACATGGCAGAGCTGAGCTCGAGCCTGGTCGTGGTTGGTCGTGCAATTTTTGCTTTGTAACCTGGCTTATGCTAGCACTATTAATTCCGCATATGTCCCTGCGACTGATTTGACATCTGATACTGATCTTGTTTCACGTCTCGCATCCTTTGTTCAGACCATGCACACCGCTACTCCCCATTCCAAGTAATGAAGTAATGTGAGAGTCGATTTACGACTCCTGCCGTTTGGGACCCTGTTTGCAAAGAGCCTGCATGCTACATGACGGAGTACCCAGGGCCCCCGCCTCCTTCCGGAACGGTCCACTGGATGTTCTGAGTCGGGTCTTTGATGTCGCATGCCTGCAGAGCCGGAGGCGGGTGAAGAACCCCCTTCATTAAAAGAGGACCCTTCTAGGCCGAACGCGTTTTACCTTCTCGCAGCAAGATGTGTCCCCGCATGTTTCCAAGAACGCCACAAAAGCGGTGGTACAAACGGGCGAAACAAGTTGGTGAGTTTGAGCACTATTGGAAAGAGCGGCTGCCGCCCTTGAGAATCTCCGGCTTGGCCGACCGTTTGTCACGCAGTCGCTGCTTTCACCGTTGACTGATTCTCACCTTGCAATGGAGGCAGTTCTGGGCGTTGATGTGCAGCTGCGGCTGGTTCTTCTCGTCGGGGACATATCTGCGGCGGGAAACGAAATCAAACGACGCAATGGGGTGCCACATTGCAGGTAGCACAAAACAACATGGTGACATGGGTAGTCGCTAAAAACGCCCTCATCACAACTCGTTTGCGGCAAGCGTAAAGCTCTGAGCGCCTCATGCCTTTAGAGTCCAAACAAACAATCCGGACAACATGCACGGCTGCCGAAGCCGCCTGATTAGCTGCACGGCTCAGATGACGTCGTGGACACAAATTCAGAACGGACGAAAAGCAGGAAACGGTCGTCCTGCTCACTCGTACACGCGCGCTGGGCAGTAGCGCCCCTCGGGTCCTGCGTAGACCGGCTGGTTGACAGTGGCGGGGATGGAGGGATCCCGCAATCGGAGGTGGGCCGGCTGATTGTGGTCGTGATTGGTGCTACTCCTGCAACCACGCCACACCCGCCGTGTGAAAACACGAGATGCTGCCAAGTGTCAAAGCGCAGCAAAATGACCGACAATGCGCGATTTTTGCTGAAAATGTAGGCAGATGAACCTGTCAGTATCAGATGTGGTACCTTGTGCTGCCGAAGGATTTCGAACATGTTTTTCCAGACTGTTAGAGAGCAAGACGCTCTTGAATGAACTTCGAACAAACCTTCAGAAAGCCTTACCTGTACAGGGATGTTAGAAGGTCAAACGTGATCTCGTTATCTGGTTTGGGGTACTCAATCGGCTGATGCCGCGATGCGGGCTGCAGGGCAAAGCAGGGCAGAATTCAATTAGGCTCCGTCGGATCTGTGCGTCACAGCCGAGAGGCAGCGGTGCTGAAAGCCCAAATATGAATGTAACGCAGCTTGCTTTCAAGACATCCCAGATTCAAATCCGAAAGCCGCTTCGACAATCACCAGTTGGGGCGATTCCCTCCGCAAAACCCTGAGCAGCGAACCAGGTACAGAAGGCCCAGCTGACATTTTACTATAGGGTATGCAACAATAGTCAAACACCCCTAGTAATCGATTTTGTTGTGCTGATTGAGACTTCCAACTGCGACAACCTTGCCTTGCAATCTAGGACCCTGCACGAAAGCCGTGTTCATACCGATTCCACGAGCAACAACCAAATGGTCACGAGCATTTTTTGGATGCCACGTTGCCGGCGCCACAGTGCACCGTCCCAGGATGCGTCGTATCGGCCACGTTACCTCTAGGTGTTGATGGTCCGGTTTTTTCCAGTGGAACGTCCAAGGGGCTCGCCCGCGCAGCACGTAGCTGAACAACACCAAACAACCCGGCCGGCGTCAGCAAAGGACCGACACGGCTACGGCTGACGACACCGTGTGCGTGCCCATAGGCAGGCCAGCCAACAAGACGGGCGGGCAGATGCATTTAAAAACAAATTCAGCTTAGAGATGGGGGATTCTGTTTGCAGAAACGAGGCGGAGCATTTGTCGAAGCTGAGGTAGCACGGCAAACACGCACCCATGAACTTCACATTGTGCAGGCGTGGCGATGAAGCACGGAGAGGCATAGAGGTGTGGCAACAATCGAGAAAATATCGAACATAAGCCGTGTGAAAGCTTATCCTCGGTGGCGAACGTCGGGGCTACTCACTGGTCCAAGCCGGAGTAGGCCAGCCCCCCCCAAAGCCCGGCATGGAAAGCCTGCACAACATAGCCGGAAGCGCGGGTGAGCATGCATTGGCAGACACGTGGGCAACGGGAATGCAGCCACAAGCACGAGTCGCAACCCAGAAGAGGGGAGTGACGAATACGACGAGGTAGCAGACGGAGTCCTTGAAGAGAACGACTTCCGTTGTTGGGCAGAAATCGTGTTTTAGCAAAGCATTCTCTCAGATCGTGGCTTTCAAAGCTGGTGGGATGCTCAGGGCCCCAGAACGAGGCTAATTCCGATGCTGATACCAAACACCAATTTGCTTCGAAGTGAACATCTTCTCCCTAATGCATGACCCCGCTGTTCGAAAGGTGTAGGTGTAGCAACACTGGCTGGGGCGCTCCAGCGCCAACCCACAGGTTGAAGATCATGAAGCGCATTTCCCTCCGTCTTTCCGTTAATTAGACAAAGGAGGGGGGAGGGGTTGAGGAGGAGGGCAGAAGGCAAAGAGCAAAAATGCATAAGGAAGGGAACAGAACACCTCTCTACTGAAAAAGAAAGGAATAGCAAAGCCACGTACCGGCCGAATGTTCCTGGCCTGATACAGCTCGTCCCACACCCAGGACGCCTTGAGCGCGTCGGAGTATGACGTCAGCATGACGTCCCGGCCACCGCTTGTGCCGGCCGTCTCGTCCGCGGCGAGAGCAGAGAAGGCCGCTTCCGCTGCAAGCATGCCTGCGCGGAGACGGCAGCACAGAGCACTGGACGGTAAAAAATACAGACAAAGGTCCCCGGTAAACGATGAGTAGGCCAAATTGCGTAAGCGGTGATCTCAGACCTTCGTAAAGGGCATGACATCAGAGCGAATCTGAACCTCCAAGTCTCAAGCAGAGCCAGCCGGATTGCAGAGCCAAATGCCCGCCAGTCTGCCGAGCCGCTCTGTTCCCTGGTCCGCTTCGGACAAACGGCTTCCTGACCAAAAGCAATGAAGTAGAGCGGAATATAATCACAAGTCGCCGTGCAGACTACTAGCCTTATGGACAAAGCGGCAGCCCAAGCGGTCAGAGACCAACAGAGTATCCACAGAGTGGTCAATCGCACCTGACTTCATGGCAGTGTGGGTGCCCTTGATTTTGGGAACGTTCAAGAAGCCCGCCGAGCAGCCAATTAGGGCGCCGCCAGGAAACGCCAACTCCGGGACGGCCTGCAAATAGGTGCGTTCGCACATTCAAACTTCTGCAAATGGGTGCGTTCGCACATTCAAACTTCGAATTTCAGACTTCCCAGACTTTGGGATGTCATTTACGCCCTTGTACTGCCCCTCCGTTCTTAACCATAGAGCTTGATTGTTATACCATGTGCTTGGAATAGCAGAGGGGTTTGAGACGATCGCCGTTATTTTTTAAAATTTAAGGATGGTATGACCGCCGTTTCTTTTATTGATGAGATCACAAATCGTTCCGTCGTATGGTTTGGTGTTACAAGGGGTTCCGACTCAAGGAGAGCGGTTACCTGATAGCCTCCTTCGTTAAGGGACCGCGCGCCGTACTGCACACAGGTTCCCCCTTCGAGCAGAGGCCGCACAAACGGATGCAGCTTGAACCGCTGCACACGTCAGTCACGTGTCCGTCAGCGGGGCGCTGGTGTTCCTGCCTTCGGACGCTATGTGCACTGCCGCCTCCTCGCCTAGGCTTTCACCTCAAGTCATGCTGCTTAACGCATAGCAACACCGCTTTGACTCATTCCTAAAGCATCATTTTCAATCACTTTGATAGCGTCGAACTTTGAAAGTAGTATCCACCCAACAAAGCGTGCTATCCTGCGGCACCTTAAGAAAGAACTTTCCGAACTCTGCGGCAGTCGCATAAAAGGCGCGTGATATGAGCAAAGCGAACACTACATTGGCAGCAAACTCCCACAGCGACCAGTTGACGGCCCATTCGACGACCAGTTTGGGCCGACTTGCCTGGAATTCTTGGTAGGGGCTAAGGTACGGGTTCTTGTAGTCCAGGGCCACAACGTACCCAATCGCAACCTGCACGAGCGGATATCCACGAAGGCGGATCGGTGCCTCAGCTCGACCCCTTCGATCCGCGAGACAAGATCCCCTCCGATCAGCGGCAATACGAAGATACTTCAGCGCCTAGGCGGTACATGGAAGCGACACACTGGCCTGGAAACACTTGTCGAGCCTCCGGACGCAGAAAGTCTGTTGAAAACTTCTCAATCGTAAGGAAAGTTCCTCGGTGCAGTCTTATATTGCTATAATACATGCTCACGGGTGGAAAGAGACTTAACGGAACGGAAGCGGAAAACGGGAATCAAACGGAACCGGAGCATCACTCACCTGGTTGTCCGCCATGTGGTAGATGAAGGACCCGCCGTACGTGTGCCGGTCCAGGGGCCAGCCCACAGTGTGAATAGTCGAGCCAGCCTCGTGCTTGGCAGGGTCGACCTCCCAAACCTGAGCCGCCAGAAGCGTGTTTACATCCTTATGTCAGATCATCGAAGGTTGCTGACGCTTGTTGCGTCTCTTCAGCCAACGAGTAACTGGTCACAAAACGTAATGCTGATTCTCTCCTGTTGACACTGACTGCTCTTGAAGCGAGACCCGCTACAATGCATACGCGAAAACGCGCGGTGTTCTGATTACGGGGGCCATCCCAAATATCAGCGCGCAAAGCTTAACATCAGCCGCTGACCTGAGATGAGGGGGGACCATCCGATGCTGACGGCAATTTGAAGAGGCAATCTCGACAAAGGACAAAAGCCACCTTTTTAAGTCTACGGTAGACTCTTCGATTTGTCAAACGTGACGGAAACGAGGAATGTACTCCTGAACTGAAGTAGCCCGCTTTCACAATTACGATGACGGCCCTGGGCCGGCAGGGCCTGTGCTTCCTCACCTCCTTGATGCCGAGAGCGTACGACTGCGGGTCGGCTTTGGCCTTCTCTCGCAACCCGAACCGCTTCATCAGCGTCTGCAAGTGGATGCCACTCTATTGATAACCGTTTTCCAACAATGCAAGAGCAGTTCAAACAGACAATTGCAAGAGCCGCTGGCACACGACCGTGAAAGACTCGACAGGATTCACGACTGGTTCTTGTGCAAAACGTCTCGAACTCTGTCATTCTTTCTCTCTCACTCTCGAACACTCGCTTGTTTGATCACAAGGGAGGCATATTGCAAAAAACGAGCCCTTCGTGGAATAAAATGTGGAGGCCAGAACGATCGTAGTGCCAGCAGAGGCCAAAAGCCGTCAAACTCGAAGCTCTCACAAAAAGCATGCCGCATCAAGTGAAAGTCCTGATGCGATTGGACGGATACGTAAAGTCAGCCATGACAGCGGTTTGATTAACAAACATTTATAAAGGAAGGCTTGGCAATCGCAAGACGTACTCAATCAAAGGAATTTCGCGAGGACTGTCATCGAGAGTCCGCTTGAAAGGACGACAGGGGAAGGGCACTACCTCTGACAGCGAGCCTCGACAACCCTCGCCGAAGAGCGTCACCCGGCCTGCAGAGGAACAGTTCTTGAGCAGAGGAAGCTTTTTATCGTTGTAGTAATCAAGAACAGGCAGAAAATGCTTCCGGGTCTGCCATATGCTCTTTTCCCTTCAGAGATGGCAAGAACAGCACGGTCAATACTTGGACAAGGGTGCGACCCTCGGACCTCTTTCCGAGCCCTCTGACCTCTTTACACCACCGTTTTTCCAGCTCGCCAAACGGCTTTCCGGGAAGAACCGAGGTGCTTTCCTTAGATGTTCTAACGCACGCCTCACCTCGCAGTTCCATCCCCCTCTGGAAGCTGTCCTTGCGCGAGCCGTCCTTTGCTACGCCCATATCGTTGGTGGCGATGCCCCTCACCGCCCCTTCCTCCGAGTACAGCACCTTGTGCACCAAGACGAGCAACAATGAGATTCTGCGGCTCGTAATTTTGCAAGACATCGGGTTCTCAGAGAGGTGTATGGGGGCCACAGTGAGATTGGGGAGGAGGGTACCCATACCAGACGTCTCGATTCCAACTTGCAGTCTTGCTTTGAAAGGACTTCAGGGCTGAGAGCGAGGCTGGAAGACGAGAACGACTCAAAGCTCAAGCTGTCAGGAGGAGATGTGGTGTATCTCGTCCCGTGCAAGCGATGTCCTCTAGTGCACGAGACCACATAGCCCTCCTTGGGATTCGTCTTCAAGCTTGGCAGAGCGATTTCGATCAAGGCCAGTCACAAAGCCTCACACCGTTCTGTATCTTTCTTCTCGCCTTGTAGGGAACCTACTCCTTTTCGGTTTTCGACCAAGTAGTATCGTCTTCGAACTTCTCAGAATAACACGCAGTGTAAGACAGCTAGACACGCAAGTGGGTATGAATTATCTCTGGTGTCGCCTCACCTCAGCCGCTGCAAATCCTGGATAGATTTCCACTCCGAGCTCCTCCGCTTTGGAGCCTAGCCACCGTGTGACTTCACTCAGACTGCAAGGACAACAATTAGAGGCTAACATAATCCACAAATTCAATCACATCTAGCTTCGGAGCATGCAACCCACAGGGCATATTCAGTGCATCATACAGAAGGCAGAACTTCACGGTAAGAAGTTGACCACAGGAACAACCAGAAAGTTTCTTTGGAACAATTGAAAACGGGCACAAAGCTGGTCGGTGGCCCTTGCCTGGTTACAAACTTGCCGTGGTTTTGAAAGGGAGAGGGCATCCGAATGGCACGTTTCTCCGTCAGCAAGTAGAAGCGGTCGTTGGTCGCAGGGACCTTGATGGGGGACTGCAGGGCAAGTAGAGCATACTATGACCCGAAAAAGCATAGAGTGATCCAAAGCATTGGTTTTCCCTTGCGTCAACATCACAAGATTTACAAGGCAGAGGAATCCTTGGCGATCTGATATGGCATGTCTGAATGAGTTGGGCAGCTTGCAAGAGTTTGAGTGGGTGTTGAAGCGCACTCAGTAGTAGCAGCGCTTACTTCCTCATCTCGCCAGTTGGGGAGGAGCTCATCTAGTGCACGGGGCTCCAGGACATTTCCGGACAGGATGTGCGCGCCTGCAAGCAGAGGGGCTCTTTAAACACACAGCATCTTTTCCTTGTTGAACTTCTGAAGGCACCCACAACTGCAGGTGATGTATTCAGCTGCCCAACGCTTCCCCAGTTGCAAGCTCTCCCTCTAATGTCAAATGATGACTTTTCCAAGGACTTGAACAACAAAACAACACAAAAAGGGTTGGCACTAATCAGTACTACCACCTTCTCAAGGAGCGCACTTGAGATGGCCAGCTGGTGTGAGGAGTTGACGAGAGGTATTCGTCGACACATCACCTTGACCACCTTCAGCTCTGCAGATGCAGCTATTAGCCCACCTCAAATAGCCACCCCAATGAAGGGCCTTCCTACAACTTGCTACCTATTTGACATCTCGTCACGTGAACCACCTTCCAGGGCCTAACCTTTTTTTTATGCAGCACAGCATACTCACCTACTTGTGCCCCCTTCTCCACCACACATACGCTCAGGTCCTTTCCCTCCTCCGCGCATTTCTGCTTCAAGCGAATGGCAGCAGACAGCCCCGCAGGGCCGGCTCCAACAATCACAACATCGTAGTCCATGCCCTCTCTGGGCTCAACATCTTCCCCAGTACTTGAGGAGAATCTCCTGCAAACCCCAGAGCTGGCGCGCGGATTGGACTCACTATTGAAAGTATGAAGAGCAGGTTGGTCTAAAAGATGGCCGAACCAAGTAAACCCTTGAGCTTGCACACATTTAGCAGCATTAGCATGCGTTTGCTGCTGGGTACCAAGAAGAAGCTGGGTCGAAGCTGGATTGCTTGAAGGATGCTTCCCCCTGAACGAGCTTCCAAACCCTAATCTGGACTGAATTGCTTGCAATGCCTCCGAAACTCTTTCCTGCAAGGGCACAGGCTGCACAGCTGACAACTGAGCTCCTGCCAATGGCTCTCTGGGGCCTGCAGCAAATTGACAGCTGTACCTGAGGCCTTCCCATCCATTGACCAGCCTCCGTTCATATGCGAGCACAAAACTTGGACAGCCATTGACGCCTCGCTTTACGGGCTGTAAAAAAGCCCCCGCAGCTGCAAAGCGGAGTAGTCTGGCCATGCTGACATGCTCTTAGATGCCTTCGTGTGCCACCATAATTTGACCTTAAAAGGCTAGAAAGGCATTCGTTCAACCCGCTTCCGAGCTGATCGACTCCCGCCTGAGCTGGATTGCGATATTGCATGCAGCTGGAAAACGCTTTGCTGTGGAGCGGAATCCGCCGACACCAAGCATCAAGCGGAACTAGATTCGCCGGAGAGGGAACGTCAGCTTCAGGCTTCAGCAACTGAACGAAGAGCAATGATAGATTGGATCTCACATGCATGGGCGCATCGAAGCGACATTCTCGATCGAGCTCAGGAGCTTAGGTAGCTCTTGAACTCGGAACTAAATCACATATCTGCCGCAAAATTGGTATATGCGATATAGCTCGCTCGATCAAAAAACGATGTTAATCGCGGGTTGAAGTGGGCGTCGGGTTTCAAAGCTCGGGAAATGCACACTGAGTGAGTCTGAGTCTTTTCTGGACGGATCGGATCGGAAGTTCGGCAGATTTGGGCTCCCTGCACCGTCAATCAGATCTTGAGGACGTGCACGTCCTACGCCAGCAGCCAAAAGCTATTAAGATAGCGAGGTTGATTCCATGCAAGTGACATGTGGACAGGTTGTGATGCAGCTAGTCAAATCTGCAGATCTTGCGTTACGATTGCACATGCAAAGAACCCCCGAACTAAAGGATCCTTGGGACGTTGCTTTCATCTGCGCACATTTGTGTTCCGTGTACAGGTGCGACGACTATCGTTTCTACATGTGAATCCTACACATGGAACTCTTGCATGTCAGCTCGGCCTGCTTCGTTGTTTTTCGCACAGACACCGTGTTCGGCCAGAAGACGGCCTTGACCTGGACTCACATTTGGCGTGGTATGCAGGCCTCATCTATCTCAACTGACTAAAGCCGCAAAACCATCGATCAGAAACTTTTAGTTGGGTAAAGACAACGACTAAGCAATACGGTATTCTTCTTCCATCAATTCTTATGTCTTCACCTAGATTTCCAACAATGATTTGACAACCCGGAAACCGTGTTCCGACGGGAGAGCCCCATTGCCCGGTCGCTCCAGCAGCACGGCGTTCAAGCCTACAACAGAAGTTAAAGAGGGTCACTTGGTATTTCAAGATGGTGAAGCGCTAGACCCCCAGAAACCGTAACCCTCAAAACCAGCTTTCTGAAGAGCGCAGATCCCGTGCTGTATGCACCACAATCAGAAAAAACCAGCAAACGTTCCAGCTGTCAGAGTGCACATAAAGGCAAGAAGCTCATGATCAATCCACGGTTTCTAAATAGCACATTGAAGAGCGTTCTTTCGACTACGAACAGGATCAGCGCAACGGCATGAGCTCGAGAATCCAAGACCCGGCTGCGAAGCATCCCGTACGCACCTGCTTGTCGGGCCGCCTGCGCTTCTTGCAGAATGTCGGTGGCAAACGTGATGTCCGCAGGGGAGTCAACCCCGACCGACAACGCAATCTCCGAGTAGCTCCGAGCCTCACGCTTCGGACTGTCAAAGCCGAAGGACCACGTGTCACAATGGGACCATCTGGGCAGCTGAAGATTCTAAGCTCAGCAGGAGCTCCTTGTGATCAACGGAGGGTGGATAGGTTACAGAGGGCTCTGATTGGTCACCTGAAGAAACTAGAGTTGACACTACTTGTCCAATCATAGAACTCAACACACAGGAATACGGCGATAAGTACACTTCAGGAAGGCTTACGCCACCGACGGCACAGCCATTCTCAGATACGAGCAACTTCCCCGACCGCCTGGGCAACTCGCCAGAAGGATGGCGAATCGCAGCTAACCACGCACTCTTTCCCATTCGTGAGAGCATCCAACCTCCACTAAGAAAACTGCCCGCAAGAGTTTTCCTAAAGGGGAGTTTTGAAAGGCCCAACCCTCGACGCAATCTAAGACGACGACAAGGAAGACGAAGCGTTCTATAGCATGTTGTGGCGCGCAGCCTCACCCGGTGGTGGTATCGAAGTAGCCGCTGAGGAAGGGCCGCAGATCGCCCGCGGTGGAGAAACCGAAAATGAGACGCTGCGCCTCGCGGCTGCCGCTCGAGTAAATGTACACCTAAGACGGCGCAAATGAAGGTCAAGGCTCAGCCTGAAGTTTGGGCATCGAACGAAGTGTGGCGGCTTTCGAAAGTCTGTTCTCGGATCAGCAAATGGACTGACAACGGGCCCGATTGCTGGGGCATGGAGTCTGCTCACAGAAGCAAGTCAAGTGTTCGGCTTCGCATACCGTAGTTGTGGCATCAGCAAAAAACACAAAGCTCGAGTGCCAACCAGAGAATGCACGTTTCTCGCCACCCAAACACATCCGCTTCACTGGCCTTCGAGGAAACAAGAGAACGTTCTGCGAGCGAGTCCTCACCTTGGAGCCTGCCTCGGTCCAGTCGGCAAGGGCGGTGGGCACATCCTCAAACACAGCGCCCCGCAGCTCGCCCTTCTCGTAGCCCCCCCGCCAGATGTGACCCTGCCGAAGCATCGCAGAAGCAGATAAGTGGTCAGAGAAAGGGGCCGCTCCGGTTCGAAAGTCTGATCTAAACATGGATGTTGAGATGAAGACCTGCAATCTGGCTTCGAGATGGTTGAAGACATTGTAAGGACTCTGCCGACCTTTCAAGCACCAAGGGCAGTTGATGTTTCCAGGCAACTTGTTGCGAAAAGTAGTGATCGGTGGTATTCTTCGAGCGCATCAATAGCCAATATTACATCCGGATAGTCGCCGTGCCTACCTTCGGTGGGAGAATTCACACCGTGCGAGCTAAGGATGTATATCCATCAATTGTTATCGCGGGGTCATCGGTTTCTCCCAGCCCGTTCCCTCTTTCCTTTCCTTACTGTGTCCCGAACCGTTTAGGCTTTCTCAGACACCCAGCAAAACCTCAGAGCCGACATGCTGACCAAGGATCTGGTTCAGATTTCCCCCTCACCTGCAACTGCTTTAGCGCGGTGATCTTTCGGTCCGCCGCGATGGCCGCCAGCACGTTCTTCTCCAGCGCCGCCACCACCGCATCCCGGCCGCTCGTCTCGGGGGGGACCGGCACAGCCCCCGCCACACCCGCCGCCAGGTCAGCCTCCACCTGGCAGGAACGCAGGGAATGCGGCTGGTCTGTTGACCAAACCGTCTCCAACATCGGAAACTGCATGGTTGCTGCTGTTCTGTTCGCCCCTGCATCCTAGTTCTGGCTTGACTCCAGGATTCTGAAGCATTGAGACGTCTGGTATCGAGGACCACCGAATAGCCACAGCGCTACCCATGCTGTTACCAACGGTTGAACGAGAATTCTGCATGGTCGACGTTGCGTCTTGCCCCCAAAGGCCCTACAAAAACACACCAAGATGTAGGCGACGGTTCTTGAGGCCAGCTCGGTAGAGCGCCGTCACGAGCAACTAGAGCGCACCTGCTGCCGGAGTGCCCGGATGTCGTCCTGCGTCTCGGGCGTGTCGTACGTGTCCCGCAGGTGCGCGCCCACGTGCTGCTTGGCATACGGGAACAAAACGTCCGCAACGAATGAGATGGGCGTCGTCGTGCCCTCGATGTCCAACACGATCACGGCCTGCACGGACGGGGCACAGTGAGGACGTGAGTGTCCGGTTCAAAAACCCAACTCGGCAACAAGCTGCCTTTCGCCGAACAAGAAAAAGGTAGTGGCCAGAGGCGCTTTAAAACATGTCAGCTGAGGAGTCGAGCAGTCGTAACCATATCAAACATTTCTTCCGGCACAAGAAGCAGGACGGACGGCCTTAGAGCGCAACTTTCAAGCAAGCAACTGCTCCCTTGTGGTCCAAGAGGACACGGAGGAGACGCTTGTTGCCGTATTTTTATCTGACAGGAGGTTCTCTTTTGCAGCTGGCAATTACTTGAGTACCTCGACGCTCGCTAGATGTACTCTCCTTGTCCTTGAGATCGAAGTTCAAAAACAAGGACCGAAATGTGCCTCAGGCTTAAATCGGGGTGACCAAACGCCGTGAAGCCTCATTGTGAACCTGACCATAGGTAGTGAAAGTAAGACATCACAGCGGTACAATAACTTGTCGGCCTGAGCCAAGGCCTACCGGGTACGCTTTGCCCCCCTCCGTCCTCCGCCTCTTCCTGCCTTCACTGCTGGGGATGCCATTGGCCGCTCCGGCGTGCGCTGCAACAGGCCGGTGAGAGGGGTCGGCCGGATCGAGACCCAATTGATGCAACCGGACAGCTGCATCGAACAAGTAGTGGTAGCACTCCGCCTGTCACAATGAAAGGTGAACGAATAAAGCCGGAGGGGAAGGACTGCGAGAAGGATTCTGAGGCAGCCGTTTCCTTACATGGCCCGAGAGATTGTGAGCTTGAATCACTGTTCGTTTAAGACGTAGATCTTGCTGAACGTCGGCTTCAGTCTCTTGCTTTGTTGTGGTCTCCCGCAAAAGAGCAGCTCAAAGTATGCCAACATGCGTCTGGGCAATGACAGTTCATTGATAACCAAAAAAACGGTCAGATACCGAAGGTTCTGACAATCAATACAAGCACTCACTGCCACTACCACAGGCAAAAGCTCTTGACCGGAAAAGTTCCAAACTCCAAGTAAAGTTCGAAGTATGTCCCCACCTGCGTCTTGGCGTTGACCCAGTTATCCCCCCAGATGTACACCCCGTGGTTCCGCACGAGCACCGCCGTCGTCTTGGGGTACTTGGCAATCGCCTCTTTCAGCGACGCCGTGAGCTCCCCCTCGCTGGGCGTGTTCTCGATGATTGGCACCACGAGCGTGTCGCGGTAGCCGTGCCCGTTGATGCCCTTGATCATCTCCATGTGCGTGATGCGGAACTCCGTTGCCCCGGGATGGATCATCGTGACCAGCGCGCTCTCCATGCCGTGGCTGTGGATGCACGCGCCCGCGCCGCGGGATGTGAAAGCCTGGGAGCAAAGATCGCCGGGTTTTGCACCAGCGTCCAACTGCTGTAATTGTTTTTTCTCCAGGTGTTCAAATACCTTCAATTCATGACATTGTTTTGACCTAGACAAGATGGATGACACGAGTTTGTACAGGGACACAGAAAAGATCTGAGGCCATAGGACGACAACGTAGGCAGGCGAATGTGCATACTCTGATGGCTGTTGGGCAATTGACACAGTGCCGCACCATAAAGTAACTAGAAAAGAGAGCCATGATTAGCTGCACTCAAGCGCCGTTGCCTGCGAGGAATTGCACAATACCGTATGACGGTACACAAATGGCAAAGTGTAAACCTATGACGATCAAAGTTGTGCAACGCCTCTTCCCTACATGGTCACAATCACACCATTTTGCAACGGGGAAATATTATTTCTAAGTTGTGCAAACCACTGCCCCATGAGTGGCCCGTCCACGGCTTTATTAAATCAACTCAACACAGCATCTTCAACTAGTTCAGAGAGAAGAGAAGCAAGGGGTTGGCCTCACAGACGCACGGAGGGGCGCTTGCAAACCATACGCACCTCCAGAAAGAGCGGGTGGCAGTCGCTGCACTTGACTTTCTTGGCGGGGTACGGCTTCTGCAGCGGCACCTCGAGGGGGCTGCCGTCAGCGGTGAGCACGTACATGTCCTCCGGTTGCATCCGCTCCTTCTGGACACCTGGCAAAAAAGGAGCCACAGGCTGGAGGAGACGGCACACGAGATAAAGGACACATGTGTGCCATGCTGTGAAGGTGGTGCAAGTTTTTGTCAACAAGGGCTCTTCACAAAGGCACATGCAATGCGGAGACGATCTCAAAACTAAATCAGCGCCCACTTTTCATCGCATTGCATGAGTAAGGGGCTCGGGCTCCACTTGCGAAGGTGTGCGATCCAAACATTTGCGACTCACAGGTGTGAGATCAAAACACTTTTGATTCAGTTCAGAAGGAAAAGAGATGTTTGGCAGGAGCACGACTGGAAACTTTGTCAGAATTGCTTATCCAGAAGAGTAGAAAGAAGCGTGTCAATTGGAAAGGAGGTTATCTCCTCTTCCTAATCAAACACTCACAGTCCGCAAGCAGGTTTCAAAAAACAACCGTAGTTTTAGGGCGTCTCCTTGCTTAACAAATCGCCGATCTGTATCGGACTGTACATTGGGTCACAACAAGTCTCCACCTGTCACACGTTCGCCAAAAGATGACAAGCAATGCACCATATACAAGGCACCGAGTTACTCGGTAGTTTACGGACCGCTTGCTCTTATCAGATGAAAGCAATCAGGTCCATGCCGCGCTTTCAGATTTACCTGACGGGGCCATCACAATGAGGCGTGACTCAGGAGGATCAGACGGGAGGCCGATCCGGAGACTAATGCTGCCCCCTGTTCCGGACACCCATCCCAGGGTGTAGAAATGCCGGCACAGGTCCGAAACCAGCTCGCGCGCCTCTTGCAGTGCACCTGCTGCTTGCCCTCCGCTCGCCATGTGGGCACCCGTGCAAACGACAGCTGGCGGCAATGGTGTCGCTATGCGGACAAGACGGCGGGGCCGTGGAAAATTTCTCACGCTATTGCAAAAGGACTGGCCAAGCACAGGACAATGCGGCCCCGCGAAAAGGGTTGCTGGTTCAACTGCGCGTACAGGAGCTCTGCTTGTGGCGTTTTGATAGTGATTTCGAGTGGTGCGCCAAAGAAAGGGATGGTGCTTGAAAGTGTTGCCGTCGTAAACTATTTGGAGTCGTAGGGGGGAGCACGCCGGCTCTGCAGCCCTCACACACAGCATTCCCCTTTGTGAGTCGAAGAAGAGTATCGTCGCTCAAGAAGGTGGACTTCAACTCACGGTTCACGACAGGACGCAATGCTGCTCTTCGACTTCCAACTTCCAAGTTCCAACTTCAAGTTCCACTGCTGCACAGTCACTGCACGGATCATGCGGAATGCAGTGCCGACTTGCCATATGGCATGCAGAGCAGGCGCCGGCGGCCAGACGTCACTCTTGCCACTGCAGTATCCAACGTCACGTGAGGCATGACTCATGAGTCAGGCGGAGTCATGACGTACCTACTGTACTCCTGGAATCCAGATCCCCATTTTCACGGGGCATAGATGTACGGTACCAATGATCATATTTCCCCGGCCCGGTCCCCCGAGCCCCAATCAAATCCGATCAGACATCGTTGCAGGTGTTCAGAATCATCTGATCTCGGATCTGATTGCCCCGGGCTCGGGCCCCGAACCGGGCCGAATCATCATTTATGGCAAGGCCAGCCTCCAGAGTCCAAAGTTGGCGACTTTTTGTAACCGGAGAGGAAAAGCGCACTTTCCAAATTATTCCAATCTATTAGTATGCCACGCGTCGCGCGGAAAAACCCACTCCTGCACAAAACTTGAATTGCAAAAGATCTTGTATAAGAGTGGGGCTTTGAATGCCGTGGATCGGGTTCCATCGAACGGTACATGGAATGATCTGGGAGTCCTCTTCAAGATATTACCTACAATCGGATGCCGTGAACAAACTTACCTACAAGGAGTGCGCCGTGCAGGAGAGAGGAAGGAGGGAGCCTGGCAAGCCGGCAAGGGAGGGAAGTGTTCACCTAGACAATGGCCGCCAAACCCGCCAGCCTGGACAGGGGAGATGGTTTCTTTCAAAGGGCGGAAAAGAGGCGAGAAGGTGGGATTAGGTAGGCAAATGAGGAAGGAGAACAGTATTTGTCATTATATCCCTGATATTGCTTGACACAGCCATGTTGTTAGGCAGGCCTGGCTGCTTGGAATAGGTATCCACGGGTATACTCACTCAGTTGTCAGTATTCTTTCTTGAGTAAGGTAGGTGGGCGGGA